AGAAGCTGCTTGGGAGCAGGGGCGGGGGGAATTCCCCACCCTTATTGCCCGACTGCCCCACCTTGGACCATAAATATCGTACATTTGGCTGATCCTAGATTGGACCGTTAAAGAAAAGACCTGGATTAATTGGCAGGCTGGTAGCAAAACGGTTTGTGTTCTGTCCTGCTTTCCGGGACCTTTTGCGGAGCAAGCAGCTCACCTTTTCGTTTTTCCCTATTCCCGGTTTCCTCAAAGCTGGAGCAACCGGATCCCCGCTTTGAAGGCAGAGATTAGGGGCTAGGAGGGCTTTGAATTCTAAGGAATCAAAATATCTTCCGGCAAGTCCCAATCTTTCCCAGCACTTCCTTTTTGGGGCCCCCGGAGAAGAGTCGCTGTCCTGGATCCCACTTCGAAGGTCAGCCCCCTCTCTGTTGGAGGGGGGGACAATTAGAGGTCATCCGGCACCTTGGGCAGCTGCCTGGTTAATCCTTTGCATAAATTCAGTGATTTCTGAAAGCAAGAGATCCTGTTAAGTGACCTTTGTTTCATGTTTTTCCAGAAACATTGTTTTTATAAGATTGTCCTCGTGGTGTTGGTAGCTGAGACCGGCTCCTAAAAATCAATGTGTTCTTTTCAAAAAACTGGCAAACAGATTGTTATTTTAGAATTTCATTCACTGTTGACACAAATGATCTGTTGTTCTCTCTTCTATTTTGGGGGGCCCTTTGCTTCTTCCCAGAAGATTTTTTACAGATGAGGACTTTGAAACGAGGTGTTCCAACGATCCTTATGGCCAAGTGATATTGTTAGGAACAGTTTTTTGATCCAGTGGGAGATGCACATTTTATTTTGCACGTTTCCTTTTCTTCCCTTCTTCCCTTCCCCCCTTTTTCCATACATGAGTATCTCTTGGGATATTTATTCTGTTGTGGAGGGTTGATTATTCAGTAGAAAGTTCCCGTGTATAAACAGGAACGATGTCCTATGAAGTCCCATAAAATCCCATTCTACGAATTGAAATGGAAGTGCATCTTGGGCTAGCAGGAAAAACAAACAAACCAGGCCTTTAGCTTGGCCCGTATCAGTGTGATCATTCTGAGAAAATTGCTGTGCCAGGGAGGTCCTGTAGTCTGACCTGCTCAGTCCAGCTTCCGCCAGACCAGTCAGTTGTCCATCAAGCTCAGAAAATCAGCCCAGTACAGAGAACCCTCCTGAGGGTCAAGAGTCGTGCTAGTTGGCCCACGATTCCTCTGGCTAAGAGCCGACGCAAGTGAGGAAATTCCTTTTGGCACTTAACCTGAGCTGCCTTTGATTTGGGTGGGTCTGGTTTTTCCGTTTACTTAGGTAGACAGAAGGTACTAATTCTGTGTCGATTGTGTCCGTTTCTTTCTTCTCCCGTAACCAACATTGATTAGATCCATTCTCTAAGCCGGTCTGGAGGAGGATGCGTGGGTTGGTACTGGCACGAGGCATGGATTGTGAACGAAGCTCGAATGAGGGGAGGGCGGTTCTTAAGGAGTCCTAGCTAGATCCCCCCCCGTTCAGCCCGTCTCCGGAAGAAGCCGGTCCTGCTGCAGCTCCAGAGGGCCCTGGAGGAGACGGATTAGCCCCTTCCGTTGGGATTCAGGCCTGGATAGCGGGTGAAAATGGCACTGGGGGTTCTCTGGTGGGAGCAGGGGTGTGGCCATCCTCGACCTCTCGGGGGCTCTCGAGCACGGTACCCTTCTGGAGCGCCTTTGGGGGCTGGGAATGAGTTTGCTCCCTTCCTCCGAAGCCATTTCCAGCCGGTGCTGATCCAGAGCGAGAGGTCTGGTCCTTGGGCCCCTGCTTTGCGGTTCTCTCTGTGTAACCTCTAGATGCGACCTCTGGGGGACTCCGCCCGTCAACTGGGGTCGTCGGTATGTTGGCCTGGCCTACAGCTCTGCCCGTGGAGAACTAAGCAATGCCACAATTGCCTGTCTGGCACCTAGAGGCTGTGAAGGTCTGGATTCAAGGCCTGCAACAGGTTCAAGCCCAGGCAAGAAGGGTATGGGCTGTCCAGCCAGTGTAGGGGAATTGGATAATTAGTTAGCAATTATGAGCTGTCCCCTTAAGGGAATCATGGTAAATGTAGTTAAGGTATCCTAGGAAATGTAGTCCATGTCACGTGACCACATCTGTAATCCCGATTGGTCACTCTTGGCTGAACTCATGGACTCGTGGTAACTGCTCTACTTCTACCGCTGTGAGATGGGAGGAAGGGGATAAGGAGATAACCATCTTTTTACCTGCAAGACAGATATGCAAAGGATTGGACATTAAGAAGAACTTTGTCACAAATGTGAGTTATGAGGATACCCGATGAACCAATAATAAAGACTTTGTATGAATGTTTTGTTGAGTTTATCTACCTGCATCTGTACAGAAGACAGAACAGGCTCTTTGGCTCTTGGGGAAGGAACCCAAATTTCCACCTTTGTCACCTTTTGTGTGGGAGCTGCATTGTTTGCCAATTTGCTTCTGGGCGCCCTTCAAGGTGTCGATTTATCACCTTTGAAGCTCTTCATGACTTGGGGCTATAGGTCATTTGACAGACCCCGCCTCTCGGGATGTGTGGCAGTTCCTCTCTATTATGGAAGACCACCTGGTGATACCAAGAACAGGGGCCGCCTTTCCCTGGGGAACATCATCCCCCCAGAAGGAAGGAAGGCTGGTCCCGACCCGGTGGCTCTTCCGAAAAGCCCTGAAGACGTGGCTCTGTCTGGGGGCCCCAAGGTGATATGGAAACAATCCCCTTTAGTTGTTCGTTGTTGCCAGGGGCAGAGGAGGTGGGGTGGCCAGGGTGGGGTTTTTAAATTGTGACCTTTTTATTGCTGCATGTGCACTGTGGGCGAGTTGAGTGGCCGTGGGCCCGTAGTAAATTGGAAGCTTTCAGGCTTTGAAGGCTGAAAGGCACATTGATCACCTGAGAATATTTTATGGGAATGTTCCTGCAGTAACTCTTAAGACAGATGGCCATTCGGATAACTTCTGAAGCCCCCCGTTATATATCTGCAGCACCCAAGCTCAAGTTCCATTATACGAAGCAGAATTTGGCATCACCGATATTTTCCCCTTTTCTTTAATGGAGTCTGGTCCTCAGAGGCTTCCTGGACAAGACCCTACAATTTTCTTGCAAGGTTTTTCAAAAGTGCTTCGCCGTTGCCTCCTCCCCGAGGGCTGAGAGACTGGCCCAAGGTCATGTAACTGGCTCTGTGACTAAGGCAGGACTTGAACGCAGCATCTCCCATTTTCCAGCCTGATGTCTTCACCACAGCCTCAAACTGGCTCTCCCCATTCTGGAAGAGAAGGCTAAGGGGTCACAAGCCATGCCAAAAGTGGCTTCCCATCCCAGGATCGTCCAAAACAAATACAGATCTTCTCAGTTGACATTTTCCGAAAGGTCAGTCTCGAGTTGAGAAAAGTCAATAAATTGCTATCAAATTTCCTTGTTTATTTCATTGACAACACTGCACATTCAGCTGATCTGACTCAGCCATGCCAAGAACCACGATGAATGCAAAGGTTAAAGGAAGAACGGACACAAACCACTTTCAGTCTTATAAGTTAACATAAAGCATGTCAAGTGGAAGGAAGGCTGGCCTGGCGACTGAAAAGTGGCTGGGGGAAGAAATGTGATTGGCAGCTTTTAGATACACAAGATAGTACAGATAAGGCAAATTAATGGCTGTGTTTCTTACAGCAACATGAGTAGCACTCCATTTTCAAAAGAAATAAGGACTCTGTGGGCTTCAGGTTAAACATCATAGACACTTAGGGAAAAATGCATGTTACCTGTGGAAATACCGGCTATGCAAAGGCCAGCCTAATTCTAACCCTCTGTGGCTCAGGTTGGCATTGCAGCTGGGAAGCCCAAAGAGAGACGGCTATTCAGAAGGGCCCCCCCTTGCACACGAGGAAGCAGGCTCTCCCCGCTCTCCACTTTTCGAGGAGCAGTTTTTGTCCGAGTTTGGTCACGCAAAACCATCTATTGCTCACCAAGTACAGGGAGCAGGAGCAGCGTGGGGGGTGGGGGGGTGGGGGGGGGCTACTTGAATGGCAGTGGGTGGGTTGCTTCTGGCCTTCTAGTTCCCTGCCCACCCCCCGAAAGCCCGGCTGGGGACGAATTCCATGTCCCAAGCCAGTGAACCTGGGTCCCTTGCAACAAGGTTCCTTGGGGTTTGGGCTGGGGTTAGGGATATCTCCTCGGGGAAAGCTCGGATCCGAAAATGAAGCGGGTTTTCGATGTTTTCCACCCTGGGGAACATGAAAATGAGGTTCTTTTTGAAATCCGAGCTCTGCATCAAAAGTTGTGTATTCTGCATGAACTGAGTTCAATCCACCATTTTGAGATTAGGGTTAGGTATAGGGTTTGGGTTAGGGATATCTCCTCAGGGAAAGCTCGGATCCGAAAATGAAGCGGGTTCTCGATGTTTTCCACTTTGGAGAACATGAAAATGAAGTTCTGATTGGCTGGGAGGCTCCCGTGGGGCCACGCGGGGGCAACTCTGCACTGAGTCCCAGGCTTGGTGGAGCCTTTGCTGGATGATGATGCTTTGGGCAACTCCTATTATAGCTTTACCTGGAGTAGATCTTTGTTATGTAGAATACTCTGGCCCAGGTGTTAATGGCCCACCCATTAACAAATGTGGGGGCTGAGCTTCTGCTTCTGAGGTGAGTTTCTGCTTCTAAGTTTCTACTTCTCTTTTTAGGGAAATATTCTGCCTTTTTAATATTTCCTAGGATATTTCATTTTTCTAGGAGAGAAAAATTCCTATTCTATTCTATTCTATTCTATTCTATTCTATTCTATTCTATTCT